TAATTTCTTACCAGTGTTAGAAACTAGCCAGGTGTGTTATGCAACTGGCGGAAGTCCAATTGCAACCTCATTGAGATCTCTGGATGCCAGGCTGGCAACTGGGGAAAGCAAAATGTCTCTTAGAGAAGGACCTGAGATATTTTACTTGAAGCTTGAATTTGTTTTATTCTGGTTTCATTTGATGTTTTAATGTGTTGTCAACTGCTTAGAGATTTGTTATTTAAAATCTAAAGCAGTACAGAAATGACATTAGCAACAACATTAATAAACTTCATTGTTAAAAAAAATATGGTACCTAGACATTGCATTGCGGCAACCATAATCTAGGTTTGAGGTGCCATTTGGCGATTAGATTATACATCTGAGTTTCTAACGTTATTTCTTGCCATTGAACACGCTAGCTGAGAATGACAGAAGTTAAGAGTCCAACAAGATATGGAAGGCTACAGGTTCCCCATCCCTCTATAAAACATACATTAATTATAGAAAAGAAAACACACATTTTTGATGAGATAATAAATAAAACTGATAAAAGAGGGGAAGTAACAAATAGTTGGTATTGAAGTACAATTTATACATACATCATCACCATATTCTTTATTTTCAAACATGTGTGTGCAGTCATTCACAACTGTCTGCAAGATTCCTTGATTATGGTCAATACATTTCCGAATCTTGTCAAGATGAGGAAGGAATTGAGGAAGCAATTTCTGTTGAATGGCTGGAAGGGATCTGAACTGTCTTTCTGCACGATTGACTCTTTCATGCATATTAATGCTAGAATTTAAAAAAAAAACAGAATGAACATCAGAAACAAATATAAACAAAATTAAACTTCTATATCAGTATTGTAAACCCACTGAGGATTCCTACTTTGGGACCATTTTTAATTCTACATTTATATAGTTACTTGTATAAGAAATACATGAGTTCTGTACATCCCAACATGCAACCAAAGCAAACATATGCAGCAACAATTAAATCAAAACTATCTAATTCAGAATGTAGTCCTGTTCTTAGAAGGGCATCCCAGGAGACAGAACAGAGTGGAGCTTCAGAGGTCCACCCTCCAAATTTCTCTATTGCAGGCACTGAAACATCTTGTGTAATGGGAGGGAGTGTCCTGGGGTCATATTAGGGAAACTGGCTCCAAAGCCCTCCTGTTCCCGTGATCTGCCTTTGTGCATTGGGCAGTGTGAGGAAGCAGCACTCTGGCTTTTTCTACACCTCAGATTCTCGCAATAAAGCACTGCCCTGTTAAGGTCCTATGGATTGAAGTGGATGATTTAACTATATTCCTTATTCCTTTGAAATTGTTGGGAGTGAAGCATGTTGAGTATTAGTCAAGTGCAGTGATCATTATCATACAAATACACACTAATACAACACAACACAACACAATATAATACAATACAATATAATAAATACAGCTATAAAAAGCTTTGACTGCAGACAGGTGCTAGCCCTAGTACAGTTTGTGTGTCTGTGTGTTTGTGTGTGTGTGTGTGTCCATACAATGATTTCTGCAGTGTGCATGAACGGGATACAAAACTTTAAAAAGAGAAGAGTCACTCTAACAAGCTATAAGACATGGCACTGGCGCATCCTAGTCCCCATTTTATTGATATGTGAAGTGGTTCTCAATCTTACCATAAGATGTTACAGCTCCTGAAACCTAAAATAAGCCAGGTGTGGCAAACACCAACACTCCACTGGCTGCCAGTAAGCTACTGGGCCCAATTCAATAGTCTGTTAGCATATCAAGCCCTGAATGACTAGGAACTTAAGTTGAAATCAGAAAGTGAGGGTCATCCAAAGGTAAAGAAGAAAAGCTGTTCTGGCAAGCAGTTTATCCCGCTTCCTTTCTAGAGAGACAAAATTATTGGTTTGTCATTCTGTGAAGGATTTTCAGGCAAAGAACCCTGACTGTTTGTAAATCATATTATAATAAAGTCCTACATAGAAAAAAAAGGAAAGGGAACAGGCTGGCTACAATATTTCCAATTACAGTGGTACCTCAGGTTACTTTGCCTTTGGGTAACGTAACTTTCGGGTTGCAAACGCAGCAAACACTTTCGCCGCGCTCGCATGCACAGAAGTGCTCCTTCTGGTGCTCCATGCACAACACAAAAAGTCGGCAACAAGAGGCGCCGCTTCTGAGAATGTGCAGAAGTGCTCTATCACACGCATGCACAGAAGCGGCACCTCTTGTTGCTGACTTTTCGGGTTGTGCACGGACCCCTAGAATGAATTAAGTTCGTATCCGGAGTGTCCACTGTAAATGAAGCATTGAAACATGATAAAAAGAAAGGATTCACCTATGAAATTTCAAATTTCCAGAGAGAAATAATAGAAAGTGGTATCAAATTATCAAAAATATACAATATGTTGTTGCAATAGGAAACTAAGAATGAAGAGGTCAAATGTGTTATCATAAAGTGGACAAAATATGTGGGACATAATATGCAGATGACAGATTGGGAAAGATATGGAAGAATGATATAAAATTTAAGGCCTGTACTTTACTTAAAGAGAGCTATATGAAAATGATGTATAGGTGGTATTTAACACTGGCTAAATTGGTTAAACTGTATAAAACAAGGGAAAGTAAGTGTTGGAAATGTAAACAAGCAGAAGGTACGTTTTACCATATGTGGAGGCACTGTAAGGTTATTTTAAAAATTTGGGAAATGATATATAATGAATTGAAAAAGATGTTTAAAGTAACTTTTGTTTAAAAACCAGAAGCTTTCTTATTAGGTATTACAGTAATGGATCTACCTAAAGAATACAATAATTTGTTCATGTATGCGACAACGGCAGCTCGGATATTGCTAGCTTAACACGGGAAGGAAGAAGAAGTCCTTACCAAGGAAGAATGGCCAACAAAGTTAAAGGAGTATGCGGAAATGACGAAATTAACTGGGAAACTTAGAAATCAAGATGACAACAAATATAAAAAAGAATGGTAAATGTTTATTGCATAAGCAATGTATGCAAGTTAATACATTAGCAGGATTTTTTTAAAAAACCACTTGTAATGTGATAGACAATGTTTAAATTTGGAGGTAACTAAGAGATAAAGATTTTATAGACATGCATGAATGAAGATAATACAAAGGAACCAAGGGAAGGAGTAGAGGGAAGTTCGAGGATTCAAGTAATCCCACAAAGTGGATTTAATATTGATTGAGTATATAAATGTTTTATTTTATGGTGGGTTTTAATGTAATGATTTTGTTTTTGTTTTTTGTGGAAACTAATAAAATATTATAAAAAAATATATTCCACTACTCTCACAAGTTCACAGGAGTTGCAGCTTGTGACAGCTTTCTCATTAGTTACCCCCCCCCCCCAATGTGGTGCACACAGCGCCATCTCTTTAAAGCCTCCATCAGTTGCTGAAGATGCACCTCTTCACCCTAGCCATGGAAAACTGAAGGTCTGTCTTTGGTGCTCTCCCAATAATTATTATGGAATTGTTATGGGTTGCCACGTACTGTTGGTTTAACTTTTTTTGTTTCATATGCTTGAGAGACACCAATTGCCAAGGTCAAGATATCAAATAGGAGTTGCCCAGCACCACCCAATGAATGACAGGAACTACCAAGGGACTGAATACTGAGAGGCCGAAGAGAACCAAAAGCACTATTTAAGCTGTAAGATAAAGAAACATATTTGTATTCATTAGAATTCTATTAGGTGTTTATGTAGCAAGCTTTGGAAAAGCTACACTTATTTTTGTCTGGATGCATCCTCCCAGTCTGATGTCTGAAGTTGAAACAAGGAGTCCCACGCAAGTATTTACTGTTAGCATGGCACAAACAATAAGACAGGTACTTTAATTCAAGCTTTTTGGTGCACAAGTCAAATCGCAAGTGCCTCTATTGAAGATATTTTGATCCTATTGTTAATTAGCTGTGCTGAATTATATTCCTATTATCTTACAAGGGTGCTTTCCAACCTGCCTCTAATATCCAGAACTAGCTGCTTTATTTACCCAGTTCCCACTTTATCCCAGGTTAAGCATCACGACTTCCCCTCAAACACTCGTGGCAACTTTAGTTTGGAGAAGCTGCTGCCAAGTTCTCTGCTGCTCCTCCACCCTGAAGTAGCTCTCGGGGTTCCCCCTGGTACTATGGGATGGCGGCGCCACCGCCCTTATTGGGCAGCCAGTGGATCCGGCGGGCGCTACTCGAGAGCCAGAGGCCCAGCCTGGCGGGGGGGGGGGGGGGCGGGAGCCGGTTACCCGTAGTAACGGAAGGCGTTGATGATTCTGCGGAAGTGCTCCCTCTCCAACTCCTCCTCCTTTCCTCCGCTTCCTTTCCGCCCTCCGCCGCCGGCTGTGTCTGCGGCGGAGCCTGCTGCGCCTGCTGCCCCTCGCCGCCCAGCGCCGCTTCCCCTTCCCGCTGCGCCTCCTCGGCCTCTCCGCCGGGCCCGCTCCGCCGGCCCCCCCTGCGCATCGCCTTCCCCGCCGGCTGCAGCTGCCTTTTCCGGGACAGAGCGCACGCGGCGGCGGCGGCGGCCATCCCTCTTCCTCCCGACGCCCAACGGCTGACGCTCCTGGCGCGCGCTTCCTGCTTCATAGGGGGGCGCCCGCCGTCAGCATCGCCACCCACCGCCTCACGCCCGCACGGCGGCGCCGGCTCCTCCTCCCGCCTCAGGCCGCGCGCGCACGCGCAGAAAGACCGCCGAGACTGCGCAAGCGCGTGGCGCCGCGAGGCTCCCTCCCTTCGCCCCAACGAATTCTCGCGGGAAGATACGAGCCACCCAACCCGCTCGCCAGTCGGCGTCGTGCGGCTCCCTCAGGGCGCCGAGCTCCGCGGGGAGCGATGCTGAGGCGAAGCGGGCGCCGCGAACCAGGCTCGCCCGGCTCCCTCCCTGGCGGGCCCACCATCTGGCTGCACGCGAACCTTCCGCGAGGGAAGAAGCGGGGCCTCGGCAGCCGCCGCAGAGATCGAGGCCCCGCGGAAGGGGGAGGCCCGGGGGGGGGGACGACGAGGTCTCTGCGGTTGCAGCGGGGCCTCCTGGCAAGAGCCCTGCGGGCCAGGCTGAAGACTCGCTCCAGCGTTTTCTCTGCGGCCAAAAGCGCGCCCGTGGTAAGTCCAGGAGCAAGTAAAGCGTCGTGCGAATGGATGGATTCCCAAAGCTGCTTTGGATACAGAAGCATTATAGGCCTCTGGGGGGAAATGTGATGTATTTTCCTTCATCTAAAGCTGAGAAAGTTAATTCGTGTGTATATCTGTATTTAATAGTGTCCAAAATATTTTCTTACTATGCTACAAAATACATCGGGACTTGCAAAAGAAAAAATAATTACCGTATCTATTGCAAAACGCATTTTGCAGGCTTGGGGCTGAACCTTGTGGAACCTATCGGTGAATACCTATTGGCCTCTATTTAGAATTCAAGGGGATGGGGAATCAATCATTAAATGATCAGCCCTATTTCCATCGGAGCATATTTTAGCCACTACCAATTTAAGAAACAAGTATATGAAGACCGGTGCTTGTTTCTCTTGATTTTTTTGTAATGTACTTGACTTGGTCTCTTTCATAGACTCCCATAGTTATAAACTATGTATGATTTTAGGCAGCCTTGCGGAGAAGATAATTGTCATTTCTCTTACCCCAATCAATGGGCTTTTAGGTTGCAGAATATCTGACAGTGCTAAAAAGAGTTTACTACATTCTACTGTAATTGTTTCCCCCTTTTAATAAAATCAATAAGGTTATGTATCATGACAACTTGCCTGTAATTCAGAATTGATTAATTTTTTTATTAAACAAGATTGTTTTGTAATAAAAAAATCAGCTTCCTGCAAGCAGATTTTAGATATCTAAAATATATTTAAGTTACCAAGCCTTACAAAAGTATCCTGATGCTCCACTGAAGGGTACCTAGCTTCCAATGCCACTCACATTGGAGAAACAGATGTATCACAAAGGATGCATTCAGGAGAGTAGAGTGGAAAACACTGAGGTGCAGGTAGGGTAATAGAAAGTTTGCCCCTTTGTTATGTTGGAGGAAAAGGACAGTGGATGTGTCTAGGTTCACTGTTGCATTAAGCAAGGAGGAGAGACTGTTGAGCACCTGGAGGAAAGCATTTATGAGACGATACGTAATTTCTCTTCTCTCCAAACATTCTTAGTACACTCTGAAAGTTTTAGGGTTTTGATTCCAAATGGATGGCACCATTGCAAGAGAACAGTAATTCCAAATAAACTAGCTGGAAAGCATATCCATGAGAATGTCACATATGCTCTCGGTTCAGTGCTGCTTTGGAAGGGCTTCAGTTAGCTTCTTAAAACATTGTTTTAGCTAGAACGTATTAAAATATTCATGTATGAGGTTTGTTATTGCTCTCATCGAGGCCAAGGCTTTATACATGCACAATAGCACCACGATCATCTGAAAGGTTGGAAGAGAGAAAAAACACACATTCAAAAACGCTATAGCTTCTTTATAATCACTCATTAGTTTTTATAGATTTTTTAGATGTCAAGTTGGACAGAATCACAAAAAGGTTATATCATCAAATTAAGTTAGATTGAATCCCTCCTGGCTTGGAGGTTCCTATTTCTGCGAATTAGGCAGGCAACCTGCCCTAGATGGGAGTTGTACTCCCTCTGAAGGAGCAGGTACATAGTCTAATACTCTTAGACCCAACTTTCCACTAGCTACTTACTTGACTTTTCCAGTTCTTGTGCTATATCATTGTATAGCCTTGAATAAAGGTCTTCCTGTGATTGAGTTCCATCCAGATAAACTGCAAGAGGAGCAGTGAAGTAGTCAAAACATCTTCAGTATAGCCAGAAATTTTCAATAGGCTACCTTCCAGTGCAACCCACATTGCATTCACAACTCACGTAAGCTTTATGTACTGACTTTTTTAAAAAAATAATTAAAAAGCTGCAGACAAACATATACACTAACAGTGCAAAGGGTGCCTAAAGTCCCTATCTTATGCATTACCAGGGAGTAATTACCAGTAAACTCAACTGAACTTACCTCAGAGTACACATGCTTAGCAGAGAATTTAACAGAGAATTTTATTTTGTTTTTTAAATATCCATCTTCAGATACCCACACTTTCCCATCCACGTTTACCACAAGACAGATGCTGAAGCATTCTGACAAAAGAGATGGATTTAGGGCAGTGCAACCAGTTTTGCCTCACTGGGCGCTGAGCCTAGGGGGTGCTACAGGGCATCATAACTATGACAGATACCCCCCCTTAAGCAGGGGTTACGTTCTAAGCCCCCACTCACGTATGTGAAAATTCTGTAAGTAGGGAGCACTGTCAAAACAGACCTGTTTTTTCCTGCTTTCCAACTCTCACCTTCTCCACACAACTCTCTTCAACTAGAAGCTCTGGGGCCGGCTGGAGTCTGTGCAGAAATGCGGCTACTACACGTGTAAGTGTCTAGGAGGCTGAGCAGCCTAAACAAAGTCCCACTGCACCTCCAGTCTCTTTGGGGCTTCCTCCGCCCTCACTGAGGTCCTCTTCAGGCTCTGGGGAGGGTCTCCTCATGAGTCATGAGGACTCTCCAGCTCTCTCATGCCATTTCCTGGTTTGAATCTATTTATTTATTTCCCAGTGTCATGCTTATACATAGACACACACGTTGATCATGAGTAAGGGGTAGGGGAGCCTGTCGTGAATTGAGCAAAACAGAATGCATGAGGTGGGGAGGCACCAAATTTTGGCCTTGCACAGGGCACTGCTGAAATTTGAAAGTTCAAAATCCACCCCTACCAACAAAGCCAGTCCTTTGAACCTGAACTAGGTAATATCACTACTTTTGCAAGCATTCTCTACTTGAATGAGCTACATGTACAGTCATACCTCGGGTTGAAGTTGCTTCAGGTTGAGCGTTTTCAGGTTGTGCTTCGCGGCGACCCAGAAGTAACGGAACGCATTACTTCTGGGTTTCGCCGCATGCACATATGCTCAAAATGACGGCATGCGCAGAAGCGGCGAATCGTGACCCACGCAGACGTTGGTTGCATTCTGCTCAGGATGCAAACGGGGCTCCGGAGCGGATCCCATTCACATCCAGAGGTACCACTGTATATATTATATCTAAATGTGTTTGCCATACCGATGCCAGTTTCGTTTTCTTCCATTTCTCTCTTATGTTTCAGATACATTGGCCATACATGTCCATCGAAGTATCCAGGTGGGTCTGGTGGGTTATAAATTCGTGTGCTATATAAGAACAGAAGCTTTACTCAAACATCTTGCTTAACAAGAATTTATATCCAAAAATATCAAAAGCCTCTAGTGGACTGATCTACTGCTGACAGAATATTTATATCTTAAGTTAACATGGTAACTTCTTAATAAAATGTTTCTTCAGTAGTTTCTTCAAACTCAGGAAGACACTTAATCTCAAAGTGTCCAATACCAAAGACTTGGTGAAAATTCCTCTAACCCACTTTACTAACACAGATTTTGATTTTGTGACAGCTGCCGCCTCCTCAGGTGTACTGGACAGGACCTCAGACCCTTAGTAAAGCCTTAGCAAGCCTGTGTCCTGGTAGACTAATACATGTCCTGATGTATTGCAGTGGTGTAGCATACGCTTTGAATGTAAAAGTTCTTGGGTTTAATCCCTGACACCTCCAAGTGGACCTGAGAATTTCCCCCACCTGAAACCCTGGAGAGCGGCTGTCAGTCAGCTAGCTAGACCAATAGTCTGACTCAGTCAGTATAAGGCAGATTCCTATTTTCCTAATGTATTCAGGGACACGAAGCATCCTCCATAAGTTTTAATTGCAAGTTGATTTTTTAGAAACACTATTGTACATTGTGAGGTAGAATGTGCTATTAAATTGGGCTTACAGCCTAATCTAGAAAATGATTATTTTAAATGAGCGCTACTGCTTTCTTTTATGACTTATGACTCCATGTACCTATGGTTTTAAAAATTGAACCGCAAGGCTACACTTCTGTATAGATCTATTTTGGACTAAGATCCACTGAATTCAAAGAAGCCTTGCTGGAGTAAGCGTACTGTGTTGGGCTCTTTCAATGAAAACCCAAAGTCTAGATTATTAAGGCATACATTTATAACCTGGAGAAAAGACCTAATCATTACAAAGCAAAACAAAACTCGCTTATTGCAGTGCCTAGTACAGTGCAGGGTAGAAGAGCAGCATGCTCTTTCTTCAGTTTGTGTATTGCAACCATGTTAGCTTTATTTGTAACAACATATATAGAAACAGAAAGTTTGCCTGCTTGAAACGAAGGCCTCTGGTGTCAAGTAAGGCACCACTTGCTAGCACACCAGGACTAATGGTTTCCTTATAGCTAAAAATACACAGAGATAAAAAATTGTTCAAATGATATAGATAACAATTAGAGGGCTTTAAACACCCGAATGCATACCTCAAAGGGGGAGAAGTGTATACACCATGTTGCACTCCTTGGAAAAAAGGGGATATAAATGTAATTTAAAAAAAAAACCATAGCATTCTCTTAGACCACGAGTCAGTACAAAGTTAAAAGCATTTAAGTTGCCAAGTTTGTTGCACTGACTCCATGCTTGTTTCCAAATGACTTTGCTAGTGGCATGAAAGCACAGACTGGGCAGAGAGAATCTGCCTTTACCTGTCTCTTTGCCAGATTTTGAGGCTCTGATTTACAGGAACTTGTGGTGTTGGAACCTGTGATTTCCCTGGAGATATAATACAGTTCCAGAATTTTGCAAGGCATCATCATCATTATTTTTTATTGTTCAAAATTACAGTGCATTGTTCCAAATTGTGTAATTCTAAAACTGAAAAACTTTATTTTTAAAAAACAAACTGGGAATGGATCTGGTTATCTGCTTTGCAGTTGCCTTATTAGATTGCAGTATGTAGGTGTGGGACCATGCAGCTATGAACAAAGAGTACAGTATAATATTGGGCAAGGATTTTCAGAACACAGTACCTTCTTCTCTTCTTGCATTCTTCATAAGGAATTGTTATGAAATACTTTTTATTCCATATATCACTGAGAGGCCTGCAATGATAAAGAAGCAAGTAAGATGTGCTTATTCAGTATGCATTATTTTTACTTTAACATGCTAAGCTTGCTTACTTGTAGTTGTACAGAAGGAAGCCCTCAACAATTAAGACATGAGTGTCTTTTACGCCCTTTTGATTATCATGCAGTGGCCTTGTCAATGCAGAGTCTTGCAGGTTTGTCATCCAAGAGCGTATGTCTGCCACCATTTTTTCCATATGCAGGGCATCAAGTACTAGAAGAGACAATGTTATCTTTAAATTAAAGGCAACAATTACAGTCTGCAAAATAAAATGCTAGAGGTATATAATGAAAAGAATGGGAAAACATTCTATTGCAATGTAGCTGTTTTCATTATCATTGGGAGTTAGTATTGGCAGTGGTCGCATAAACTAAAATTTGAGCATTTTATGGTTGTTAATCAAGAATGGTAATAGTTGGAGAGAGAAACCAGGGCTGTGCCAATGAGAAGTGCTTGGAGTATAGAGGAACAGCAAAAAGATCAAATGATTGTGCTCCAGTTCCTAAATCTGTGAAGTTTTCTCAAAACAGGCATAGTTGTTTTGAAAGGAAGATTCAAAGAGTGGGAAATGAAGTGATTGAACAAAGAACAGAGGAGGGAAAGAGGGCAGATAAATAGCTTCCATTCAATACCAAGAGAACACAATGTTTTTGGTTTGGTATAGGTGGACTGTACTTGTAAGAATTTGTAAAATGAATTATAGATTTGGAGTGGAATATCAGCGCCTCTTTTCAGCAAGAAAGATTAGCTGCTAGGAACATGGTCCACACACAAACACACAGGATGTCCGGTTACAATTAATTCTGCAATAGCTGGGTGGAGGAAGTTAGCCAACAAGCTTCAGTTTGAACTTTTTTATGCACTAGATGTCACTGTTTGGTTTAAACTTAACTTGAAATACAAAGGGGGGAAGGTTTCCTGCAATGCCCGAACAAGAAAATGCATTATATTGTTACATCTGACTGAACTCCAAAGTTCACTTATTATCTTGCCCAGATAGCATTGATCATATGGAAATAGTTGTGCAGTTTAAACTGTTACTGAGCCAGATGCCTGCTTGGTTTTAGCTGAGTTCACTATTACTGATTTGTGGAGATGCTTTGCATATATTTGTGACTAGTTCCGCAAAACTGCTACTTGAAGAAATCCCCAAACTTAATATTTTTTAAACTTCAAATGGAGCTGAGAATCCAGTTAGGCAATCAAGCCTTTGCAGTTGAATTAGGAGGCACCGAGAGATGGCAACAACATATTTTCACCCAAAACTGATACATCAAAAAGATACTTTATCTATCTACTCTGCCTATCTCCTTTTGCTGTCTCTTGTTAAGTAGAATTTTCCTGCTAGAACCAAATTGCTTGATTTTGAAAGTGAAAGCCCTTTCATTCAGATGTGACACTCCTGCAGAATCCCAGGATTTTGCCAAGATGCTGCGAAGCACGTCCTAGTTATTAGAATTCACAAACTTAAAGCCTTCCATCTATTACTGTCAGCAATGACTCCTCGCTGCTGTCCATTTATTGACATACTACAAGCATAGCTGTCAGCTTTTCCCTTTTCTTGCAAGAAATCCTATTCGGAATACGGTAATTTCCTAAACGTTGACAGCTATGACTGCAAGCTTAAAAAAAAGTCAATCCACTGGAATCAACATCTGGGCTGCATAAATGGTATTTTTGCCTTCTGCATAGCAGCTTGCTTCATATATAGTAATCCATTTTTTGAATTGCTTGATTTAACACTTCGCTGCATAGTTGTTCAACCACTGGAACTCTTATCTGCTTATCCAGTTCCCATTTTCGTGTGTGTGTGTGTTGAAGGCATCAAGCATGCCACTTTTGCTATTTTAAGAAGAAATATCTAGTCAAAAATAAAAATACAAAAATATTTGTAGAGACAAATGTTTGCTGGAAATAATGTTTGCTGGAAATAGAGTGGTTCTTCGAATATTACAATTTTGCTTACTTTGATGCTTTCAAAACTCAGACTTTAAAAAAGTATTGAGTCTACTAACCATCATACTGCAAAAATCCTTGGTCATCTACAGCCACTTCAGATTCTGGCTAGAAAAACCAACAACAATATCGTTAGCATTGTTGAGGCAATTTGAAGGAGGAAAGGGAATTTAGACTTCTTATCATACATAGCTGTACTGGAGTCAGCAATTTTAGCGGTAGATGGCAACAACACAATTGAAATGGGCCACTGCAGAGGAAGGCAAATAATGTGAGAGGCAGCAGCACCCAGAACTGTTCAGAATTTTAAATGAACACAGCAAGACATTTCAAGTCAGAACAAACCGTAAACTTCCTGATAATACTATACTAAGTACAGTGGTATGTAACGCTTCAGGTTACAGACTCCGTTAACCCTGAAATAGTGCTTCAGGTTAAGAACTTTGCTTCGGGATAAGAACAGAAATCGGGCTCCGGCGGCATGACAGCAGCAGGAGGCCCCATTAGCTAAAGTGGTGCTTCAGGTTAAAAACAGTTTCAGGTTAAGTACGGACCTCCGGAACGAATTAAGTACTTAACCTGAGGTACCACTGTAACTCCAAATCCTGTAAGTTTTGAGAATGTGCATGCATGCACATTCCTGTTATTAAAAAGTAGAGTATTATTTAAATCCAACTAAAATCAGCATGGACCAGGATGATAAAGATCAAAAACAGAAGTGATAAAAATACAAATACAAGATGGCAAGTTGAAAATACAGGAAGCTGTTCAGAATACACAAGAATCATCCCATAGCTCATCCCATAACATTCTTTTTCTTAAAACAAAAAAAAAATCCTTCCAGTAGCACCCTAAAGACCAACTAAGTTAGTTCTTGGTATGAGCTATTCTTTTTCTTGAACATTTGGAAGCACGCTGTATTCTGCTTCTAACCTGGAGATGTTCTACTTTAACTCATAAAGTCCCTTTGATTGTTTACCTTAAAATAGTCATCTTGAGAGAGTATAGTACAGTTTGGAAGCTGTTTCTTAAGCCTTTTTGCCAGAGTTGTTTTCCCTCCATTTGTTATACTGAATTGGAGATTGGAAGAAAAGAATGACAGAACTGCAGCAGATTACAGAGTAGCAGACTATACAGTACATAATAACATCATTTTGATAATCCAGTACACATAGATTTGTTTACTATAGTATCTACATTGTAACTTGGCAAATGCATTTACCTAGTTATTTTAATGTTTTCAGATAGCATATGCTGTAATGGCCAAAGGCACATTTATCATCATCTCAGACAACTTTTTTTGTTACCTTTTGCATGATAAATGCACAATGGCTACACAGTTGTTGCAGGGAATCATAGTATCTTCCCTCAAAAATTCCTATTTGCAAGGAGTCATTTCCCCAGAACTCAAAAGTCTTTTGAAACTAGAAAAAAGAATCAGTTACCTCCCTCCCACCCACCTCAGTTACTATACCTTTTGCAAACATTCAAGTATTTTCAACTGCATGAGTGTCATAGGCTCATTTTAGCTATTGTACACCCCGCACAGAAGAGACAGGAACAAGAAGTGCCAGGTAGCAATTCTTCCCTCCCCCCCCCCCATCAAGGTTAGCACCAGCAAAACTGTAATATAGTGGTAACCAAACTTTTTTTCAGAGGGCCAGATTTGATGAAGTGAAGGGCCGTGAGGGCCGACCAAAGGGCCAACCACCAAAGTTAACATTTTTTTTAAGGACTGAAATTGTTGAGCTTTTTTAAGGATTGAAGTTGTTGAGGTTAGGATTTTACCCCAGGAAGTAAACTGCCACAGTAAACTGACCGGCAGGCCAGATTAGGCCCCCGAAATGGACTTTGGACATGCCTGCAGTAAAATAACTATGTTTTTCCCACCATCCTGAAAAGTGATCACAAAGCAGTAATAGCACACAAAAAGCAAATTATTCCACTCAGCTATTGAGTAGATCTAAAGACCTAAGGCAATAATGGGACCCTCCAAATGTTTGAGGCTAGATTCTATCTGCCCCAGCCAGCATAGCCAATGGCCAGGGGTGGTGGGAATCGTACTCAAGCATCATAGCTCAGTTAGCAGAGCATGAGACTGTTACTGTAATCTGAGGATTTTGGGTTGTGGGTTCGAGTCCCGCGTTGGACAAAAAGATTCCTGCACTGCAGGGAGTTGGACTAGATGACCCTTGTGATCTCTTCTAACTCTACAATTCTATGATTCCATGATCATCAGGAGTGTCCCAGGTTCCCCATCCTTGATCTAAAGCAAAACTGGATTTTAACCAACTACCCATTCACTTACCCTCCAAGTCCAATGACCAACATTTCCACAGCTCTTTCACAACCTAAAAATCAAATTGAGAAAGAATCCTTGTAGTAGGAGTGAAAAACATATTGTCTATGAGCTACTATGTTCAGTCCATGGAATTTTGGACTAAATGTCTCAGGTAAGCTTCTAGCCAGTTGTGAGGAAGGTGGCTAAAAATTGCTTGACATCAAAACCAAATTATAATGAAATCAAAATCCATTGGGTTTGAGTCTCAGTGCAATCTTACACATCCCTACTAAAGAGGAAGTGAAGTTCAACAGGCCTTTCCAAATTAGCAGGTTTTTTCCAAATTTTCTCTCATGTTTGGAGGTGAATATACATCGTCTGATGACTTGCAATGGAAAGGAAGAACTGGCTGTCCTGAGTTAACATTGGACACTATGGAAATTGGCAAGTAACCTGTGACACATGAGGGTCATCACTGGATTCAGCTCTCCAAGTGACTGAGAAATACAAATACTGTAGTAGGAAAGGGAAAGATATCAAACCTCACTGTGCACAACATGCTCACCCATGAACATCAAAACACCAAGCAATGTTGTATGAAGTATGGAAAGATGGAACTTGGCACCATATTGCCCTTAATTATGTACACTGTCAAGTAGGAACACCTAAGTGTCAACGTTAACTGTATCCTTAGGGAATCTCTCAGTGTGGCATTCCAATGAAAGCCAAGCATGCTGTGACAAGCCTCTTTGATGATTTTGCCACCAATTTATTTTGAGAATGTAGTGCGTTATGTCAAGCTAAAATCTAGTGACGAAGAAATGGGTACAGATATTCAGAAATGGGTACAAGTAGACTAACCTCCTGTATTTTTTAAATTGCAGGGTTGCTGGTTTTAGCCTGTGGAATAAAATATTTCTGGCAGGAACAAGGAGGGGGAAGTTAACATGGGAAAACTCTGCCAGAGATCTACTAGATCCTAATCCTGTTCTTCCCCGCATATCTTGCTGTAGTACTGCTCCCATTAACCATGAATTTCTGGGAGGTCATAGCAGCATCAAGACTCATGATAAATGAACTTCTTATTGCATCAAAATTTGTCTGCTAAACTTCAAAGCTATATATTTTATTTCCACCACATGTTAACCACAAGTATCAAGCCTGCTGTCTTACAAGGTTCTAATAATATTTGGACAGACTGAGCTATAGAATTTCCATTGCAGTTCATGCATCTGTGAACAAATATTTTTCATTACTGTGATTGATCGTAAACAGTGTAAAATCTGTATTAAATGATCCTCCCTATCAGCAATCCTAGGATTTCTAATTCTCAACACTGTAGACTGCCCAAATATGTATACAGTCGTAATTCGGAAGTCTAACGGAATCTGTTCCGGAAGTCCATTCGACTTCCAAAACATTTGGAAACCAAGGCACAGCTTCCGATTGGCTGTAGGAAGCTCCTGCAGCCAATCAGAAGCTGCGTCAGACATTCGGGTTCCAAAGAAGGTTTGCAAACCAGAACACTCACTTGCGGGTTTGCAGCGTTCAGGAGCCAAAACATTCGACTCACAAGGCATTCGGGATCCAAGGTAGGACTGTAATGCAAAAAGCTCAATAAGCCCAGTGGCACCATTTTTAGGTGAATATATGTAAAATATGGCCCACATAGACAAACAGTGCTTGAAATGCTATAGCCAGAAACAATACTAAGCAATACTGTATATGTGGCCACGTGATGAATTTAATTAAAGTCAATTCAGGGATCACTGGTGAGAAAGTTAGGATGGGTTCAGAGCTATTACTAAAAATATGGGCAAAGATTAATGCTGCTGGATTGTTTGTTCTTAATCTCTCACCCATTCGGAAACAGCTGCTGCCAAAGCATTTGCCAGCTATCCAGAGATGAAGGGCTTTGAACTCTGTTGTATAGACAGTGACGCAAGTTAAGATTTCAGGTCAGCAGTGCACGGGTCCAAAACAAAGACAAATATACATCAAAGGGGAATGCTACATAGGAAAGAAGAGTCTCTGTGAGTTGTATTCTACCCAATTGTCAGTGGCACACAGTTTGGTTCTGCTCTGACCCAGAAGTATTCTCAAACCATTACCACCAATCTCTGTAAGAGTAAGATTGCAGCCAATAGTTCCCAACTGCAGTATTTTTATTATTATTATTATTATCATCAGCATTTATATCCCACCTTTTTTCTCCAAAGAACTCAACATGGGCACATGGGTTTCCCCTCATTTCATAACCCCAACAACCCTGTGAGGTAGTTGAGCTAAGAGGCAGTGACTGGCTCAGGATCACACCCAGTGAGCTTCATGACCAGGTGGGGATTTGAACCCTGGCCTCCAAGATCCTAGTCCAGCACTCTAACCACTGCACCACACTGGCTCTTTATGACCATAACATGCTACGTTTAAAAGTGATCCCAACACAATTACAGTTTTCACTTCTAGAGCATCTTGGCAGCCCAGTCCCACCAAATGCAATACAGTTTGTTTTCTAGCAAGCACCTTGAGATTAGCAGCCCTGGACAGCTTTTCCAGAAGCAGGTGAGCCAGGCGTGCCAGGCGATGCGCCTTTACACTTGCAAGGAAGTGCAGACACTGGTTTAAGTGGGACTAAGGGAGCCTGTCATGGGCAGCCAACATGTTCCAAACATTTCACATGCATTTCTTCTCAAAAGCTTTGAGACTCCAGTTGTCAATAAAACCCTCGAAGCCCTGAATTGGCATTGAGGTCCTTTTTGGAAAGATTAAGGACGTCGCGCGGTATCTGATGGAATAGATGCAGGCACGGAAGGCCGCCTGCCCTGAAGCACTTCTGGCTGCTTCTCCTCCCCCCCCCCCGCGCGCCCCCCGCTCCTGCCCCCCCAACCCAGCCTGCTGCTGCCTCCGGTGCAGCGGCGGAGCCATTCGCCCCCGGCAGCTGAGCGGGGCGCCACCTCCTCCTTGGGAGCCCCGGAGCCCCGGGCACGAGAAGCCTCTGGCGGCGTCGAGCCCCGGTCCGCGCCTACCTTCGCCCTCGCGGCCGGACGCGCCGAGCAGCGCCCCGAGGAAGGGGAGCCCCTCATGAACCAGGCGCACGCCCCGCCCCCTCTAAGGAAAGGGGGCCTGACGATTGGTCAAGACTGGCAGTCCGGCCCCCTGGTTCCAGCGATTGGCTCGTTCCTGGGGTCCCCGCCCCTTCACGCGGCCCGCCGGGCGAGCTGGCGCCTTGCTCCTCCCTCCCCTCTCCGCGCCTGCAGTGCTGGACTTGGGCCGCTAGAGGGAGCGGCGCCCCGGCGCCCCTTCTCTGCCTGCGCCGCCGCCGCCGCCAGTCCCACTTCCTCCTCCCGGTCGCAGAAGCAGCTGCGCTCGGCCAGCCGCCCCCTCTCTCTCCGGGAAGCGACGCCCGCCCAGCCCCACGCGCAGCCCCTCGCCCGCCGCCCTCCCCTCGCGCAGCGATGTCCAAGCCGCCCCCGAAGCCGGCCAAGCCAGGTAAGGGAGGCGCCCGCCGTCCAGCGGGAAGGGAAGGGGGGGCCAGCGGCACTCCCTGACACGTGGACCCCGCCCGCCCGCCGCCCCCGCCGCCGCGCCATCCAGGCGGCATTTCCGTCCAGCCCGGGCCGAAGGGCGCGCTCGGAGCCTCGCCCGCCCGCCCGCCTGCCGTGCCCTGGCGATGCGCGGGCGGAGGGTCGCGGTCCGTGGAGCGGTGGGCTGCCCCCTGCGCCCGGGGCGGGGCTCGAGAGAGGCTGTCACTGTCAAAAGAAGAAGGGGCCAGAGCGCTCGCTGCCGCCCTCCGGCGGGTCGGGGCAGGAAGGGCGTCGAGTTTGCGGGGGGGGGGGCGTCGAGCGTGTGGGATCCTCCGCTGCTGCCGCTCGAGCTTTGGTGCATTGATGCAGCTTGGCAAGCAGGTGGCAGCCAGCATGAGCCCAGGAGCCCCGCCCGCCCCGTCAGTGGCCCAGCTTCGAAGTTGGCGGAGCTGCTCCCTCGCCTCCCTGAGCTTGCAGGCCAGGAGAGAAGAGCCGCAAAGAGACACCTCTTGGGTGGGAGCGGAGGGAGATGCCTTCTCCAAGCCAGGCCCAGGTGCCAGCCAGTGGACGGGCAGGGGCTGGCCAGGGATTCAGGCAGAGGCCTCTCACAGCCCCCCTGGAGGGACCAAGACTGAACCCTGGGCTTTCTGCGCCACCACAGTATCCAAATGGTAGAGTTGGAAGGAACCATGAGGGTCATCTAGTCCAACCCCCTGAAATGCAGGAATCTCTTGCCCAATGTGGGGCTCCAACCCACAGCCCTGAGATCAAGAGTCTCCTGCTCCACCAGCCCAATCCACTACCTGGCATCTGGGGAAGAGCGAAGGAGGCCCGCCTGTTTCACAGAATTTGTCCTCACTACTTGTGAAAATTCATCTATCAGAAGTAGAAATAAATCTGAAAAGTTCTAAGGTGTGTCTTTGTGCTTTGCCAGTGGCGTAGCATGGGGGGTGCAGAGGGGGCCGGCCGCACCGGGCGCAACATCTGGCGTTAGGGCAAATCCACAGGTTAGGGGGCACAAATCCACGGGTTAGGGGGCGCAAATCCACGGGTTAGGGGGCGCAAATTACTTGCCTTGCCCCGGGTGCTGACAACCCACGCTACGCCACTGTGCTTTGCAAATATGTTGATTCTTCTCACACTCTCTCTTGAACAGACAAGGACCTGTTTTCTCCATTTCAAATATGGTATAGCTTTCCCCATTTATCAGGGTTTGTTCCAATGGCCTCAACGGAATCAGGCTGGAGAGTGAATTGGTTTTGAATGGTTCCTCGCTATAGGACAGGCTGGTAGATGAAACATTTGCCCCATGGGCTGAGATCCTGATAAAGGATGCTCAGCAGTCAGCTGCTAGGCTCTCTGCCACATGCCTTTGGCCTTCCAGAGATTGTTGGGACTCCTATCAGGCCAAGCCAACATGGCCAGGGGTGATGGGAATTGTAGTCTATCAGGTGCCTTTGCCAACAAGAGAGGCATGCATGTTGTAGTTGCCCAGGAACTGCAGGATTTATTTATTTTAAAACAGCAGCAGCAACAACAACAATATTTACATGCTGCTTAGAAGAACAAACATTATCTTAAGTGGTTTACAAGTCCATCTAAAATATTAATTTAAAATTCATTTAAAATATCCCTTAAAAATAAAAACTAGGTACTGTACTTAAAATTGGTAATTGTAAAACACATAAACTAACTAAAACAACAGACCTGATTAGGCTGGGTGGAAACAAGACGTTTGCTGATATCAGTCAGGCCCCAGAGACAATAGAGTGAAGGCGCGTGCTTAATAATTTTAGTGCTGCTACACTAAAATAACAGTTTCTTGGAAGTACAGAAAGAATATTTTGTGGCTCTTGTTAAAGTTCCAGTGGCACAGATCACATCATTCAAGTGAGCACATATGGGGCGAGGTGATCCTTCAAGAAACTAGGTGTGTACAAAGATATTTGGGGCACCTCTTGGATTAAATTGATGTTTTTTAAATATGGATTTTCTCTGCAAGCTGTATTTATTTTTTATTCACCACTGAGATTAACCTGAGTGCCAAGGAGGCAAATGGTACTGACTCCCTTATTCTTTAATCTCAGTTTAATATCATATAAGATTAAATATATTAATATAAGATATTAGCGTTCGTGAAGATATTCCATTGGGTGGGCATTGAGGGCTTTGGTGGTAGAGGGGCAAATGGCACACATTCAAGAGCATTCAACACCCTGTTTCTGTAGTTGCGTATGAGAAGACTACACAACCTAAAAACTTTAGTTCCAATGCAATGAATTAGATTAAAGTGACTTAAGTGCAAGAGGGCTAGTGCACTGACTTGAGTAGTTTATGGCTCATTCTGTCTATTACCTGATTGAAGCTCGTATTACAGTTTATTGGACATGTTTCAGGGATTACATACCTTCTTGGAGGATGTATAATAACTCTAAGGTTTACCAAAGGCCCTTAGCAAAGCCTTTGAACGTGGTAACTGTGGCAAATCTGTTGCAACCTGCTATTGTTTCAGTTTCCTAGTGGAAAAGATACAAAATCAGGAAGAGATGTAGTTTCTAACCCGCTGTCAATAAAAAGCTTTCAATCTCCCCTCAAGTCCAGAGCCATTATTTGAGGGACAATAATGTGCCCTGGGAAGCAGTTTTTTTTGCGAAAAGCACATTTGTCCTATTTACAGGTATTACTGGTAATTTCCATTTTGGCAAGGTTTGAAATTAGCCTGGGGCCAGGTGCATTTTGCACTGGACTATCTGTCACTTGTGACCAAGTGAAAATGCCTAGTTGCCAGGATGGTGCCTGACGGTTCGACCATCACCAGTAGGAAAAAGAGGTAGGAATAGGCCCATATATATGTGGACTCTCCCTGGATAAATGACTTCTCAAAGTTCTTAACCTATCTCAAAGTTGTCATCTGAACTATGATGGCTTGATTGAAGAGAAAGGGATTTGGAACGCTTAAAGTTGTAACACTCTGGCCACCAAAAGAATAGAACAATTTGCAGAAATTTGTTATTATTCAGGAAGCACGTATGAGGGGAGAAGAAAATTTAATTTGGTAAGCAGAAACACTGTGTGTGTGTGTGTGTGTGTGTGTGTGTGAAATAACTGAAATTGCACCCTGGAATTGTCTGAAGAGATACAGCCCTTAATCCAGATCTTAAGCCATTGACTCATAGTTGGACAGTTCTGGAATGTAAGGATTGTCTTTATAATTTGAACTCCATAATCTAAATTTTGAAAGCAACTGCTCAAAAATATTATATAACTCCAGTACAAAACCTGAACAATTTACCTATCAGAGGAGACAGAGATGGGTTCAGCAGATAGTGAGCTGCAGCCATTTTATTACCTGTGCATTAAGAGTTCTCAAAATCGAGGAGGCCGTGGCTCTTTCACCTCTTATATTTTTTGCTCAACAAAGTATCTAATTGTTTTGCACCCAACAACATCCCTCTTTTCCACAGGCCACAGAGGAGCCCTTATGCTTGGCTAACTTATTTGTGTACTGCACTTTCCACAAATACATTGTGGTCAAAAGGGCCGCAGGGTAGATAATTTAAATACAACAGCCATAATTGTATACATTGTGATATAAGATGAAGAATGCCTCTGCCTGGACAAGTAGCCTCATTAAAGGATATTATGCTAAAAGCAGAAGAGAGAGAAAAGTGCCCTCCCACACCAAAATAGTCCCAATGCTGATATTATTGGGCCCTTTGTGAGGACACGCATGCCTGTGTGAGTGTGCTCAGGAAGGACAGATCTTGCTTGCTGGGGATTAGAAAAGGCATATGAAAGTGAACAAGTCTTGATGGTGAATATGTCTCCCTCTCTCCTTAGATATGTGTAAAGCTGCAGTTTCCTGGGAGTAAGTCCCACTGAACTCAGGAGGACTTACCTCTGGGGCTGTGCACACACTTTGTCTTATATAAGCACATTAAAAAAAAAATTCTTTCCCTCAAAGACTCCCTCACACAGCTACAATTCTCAGCAACCCTTAATAAGCTAAGTGGTTCAAGCATGTCATATTCTTTATTTCAATCATTCTCACAGTCTCTATTTGGTAGGCCATTATTATTTTCCCGCATTTTAACCGAAGGAATGAAGCTAAGAGGTTTCCGTAAGGGGTCAGGGAAGCTTTCTGTACCCAGGCCTGGGTAGTGTGACTACCTATTCCAGACCTATTCCACTTGCATATCCTATTGGGCTCAAATGATGTATGATGTTAATTAAATACATGTCATTTCCCAGTCTTTTAACTCAGGATGGGGAAGAAAATTTGTTCTGTTCACATTTAAGTATGAAACTACCTTATTTCCACTTTCCAAAACAATATGAGAGCTGAAATGCAGTGTTTCTGTGAAATTTGCATTTCTCCAAATTTTGCTATGTAGTTCTCCAAGTAACAAAAGTGTGTATTAGGTGAAGGTGAGCATTAAAATGTTCATATTAATGGAAGTAGCATACAAAATGTGTTAGGAAAAATGGCTTGTGAAAATGTGTGCATTAGTCAAAATGACAGGTAGGCATGTATATATTTGGGGAAATGCATGTTGAAATGCTGACACATTTTTGTGAGGATTGGTTTTTTTAAAATATATATCAAAAACTGATGAGGAAATGTAATGAGCTGAATTTAATATTGGAAAAATGAGAAACCAAAAAGGACAGATAATGCCCATTCCTCTCTGCCAGTTTCCCCTACATGCCCCCTGCATTCTGCTTTTAGCCCTGGGAGGATAAATATGTGGTTCTCCACAGAGAGATGATGGGGGAAATGGAAAGCCTGACAAGAGGAAATGCCGATGAATTTCCAAACCTGGAGGTAAATCCAGGGGGGTACATACAGGAGACTGACTACAGGTGCCTATTGAGTTTATAATCAGACGTCCCCACCCCCTGTGACCCGTGTGTCCCAACTCCCACTCCCCTGCCAAACATGTCAAATTGGGACCAGAGTGAGGGCTTTTTCAGTGATGGCTCTTGAACTCGCTCCTCTTGTCTCACCACCCCCACATAGTGTGTAGGATGGTCAAAACCTTTTTTGAAATTGTTTTAGTTGCTGTGGTTAAATTATTTATGATGGCATGTGTTTTTAAAAAATCATATTTTTTTCTCTGCTATTCTGTTCTTTGTGACTGCTTGTGCTGCATGTATTGTTGCTATCAAGCTTTTTTCTGATTTAAATTAGGTTGCCTATGGCTCATTGTGGAGAGGCAGGGTTTGAATGTTTTAAATGAAGAAATGTCCTGTGTGGTATGGCCAGGGCCTGCCCAAGACATGTTGGTGCCTGAGGCAAACTACAAAACCCCCCTCCACACCAGAACAGAAGGGGTGGGTGAAGACTTACACAGGAGCAAGGGGAGGGGAAATAAGATCTGCATCAGGATCTGCTGCCCCTATGAATGCTGCCACCTGAAGCAGTTGCCTCACCTTGCCTCATGGGTGGGCCGGCCTGGGCTTGACCCTTCATTGGCATTCTCTTGTCTGCATGGGAGCAGAACTGAACATTACTATATTAGTCCGTGCCAGTACCCAAGTCCCTGTAAGGTAGCTAATGTAATGCAACATTGCATTATTTCAACGTCATTTCCTCAGTGGACACGAGGACTCCACCACAGAACCATTTCCTTGCAGTATAGGGGCAATTTCAGTTCCCTCATCCAATGTCGAAAGCTTTTCCTCCTGAGAAGTTGGGCCCAAACTAAATGTTGCAATAAAAGCAGCTACATATGTTAAAAAATGTTCTCTTTTGTTATGCGCGGGGTAGCTGGGGTGGAGTACAGAAGCAAATGAGGAGGAAAATAACACTTTAATACAGAAAACATTGACAGAGGGACATAGTTTTCTATGATTATCTGCAAGGCCATACAAAGAAGTTAAAGGGAAATACAGGATAGAAAAGCCCTTGGGTTCAAAAACAATAGTCTGTTTGTTGGAGTTGACTGCAGCCCTCTCAAACAGCTGCAGCAATTAAAATAATCTCAGACCATTTAAAGAGCACCTTTTCCATTAAAAAACAGCATTATGGCAAAAATATTCTTAAACGAATACTGGAAGTTACTTCTTCTCTTTTTTTGCAATTGCTCTGATCCCATCACCCCTGCTAGTTTCTAACAGCCCTTGGTTTTTATAAACTTTGCATATGAGCAATAATTCCCAAGCAAACTATCTTCTGAGTTGGAAAAACGTGGTTTGTTTTTGTCTGTTGCTTGTTCTTGTCTGCTGCATGGCCCTTTAAGGGAGCCATAAAACATAAAAGTCTAAAGGAAAACAGTCTTGAGTCTGTTGTGGTTGCTGTTGACATAAGCATAAGAAAACACGGAAATAATTAGAGCTTAATTTCATAGGTTTGGTATGTGCATGAAAGAGGTGAAAATTGCAACATACTTTGCAGATTAGCACTTGATCCTAAACCAATATATTAGTATTTCAGCAAAGTTTACAGCCAAGTAATGTTTTAGTGTTATGTGCAAACTAGGCCACTCTCAGTTTACCCTTCTCCAATATGGTGCTAACAGTACTGATCTCCTTTACAGGATTGTGGTAAGAATTACTGCGAACACTTTTAAGAAGTAAATATACATGCACAGACCATTTGATTGTTAAAAATCCCTTAAAGCGGTTTACAAAAAACTGCAATTATATAAACTGCAATTAATAATTACAGTGGTACCTCAGGTTACATATGCTTCAGGTTACAGACTCCGCTAACCCAGAAATAGTGCTTCAGGTTAAGAACTTTGCTTCAGGATGAGAACAGAAATCGTGCTCTGGTGGCGCGGCGGCAGCAGGAGGCCCCATTAGCTAAAGTGGTGCTTCAGGTTAAGAACAGTTTCAGGTTAAGAACGGACCTCTGGAACGAATTAAGTACTTAACCTGAGGTACCACTGTAAATTATATTGTCCTGTGCTGTGTGATACCTTGTCCTATTTTCTGTAAAAGAGGGTGTATATTTGATTAGCATATGAACAGTGCAACCCCATGATGCGGTTAAGTGGATAAGATCGAGTTACTTTATGAGTTACTTAAAAACATGGTTATCTTTATTTTTATATTATTAAGCAGTGGTTTTTGTTTCCAATTAATGATATATGCATATATAAAGATAAAAAAAACCCACACGCTTGTATTCATCTGAAAATGAACTTTATTTAAAGGAACAAAATGAATGAAAATGCAAAGATGTTTATAAAATATTAATATTCTTTGACATTTGCACAAGATTATCAGTTAGCTTGTCATGGTGTACATTTTGCAATCCAGAACTTTTGCTCAGTAAAATGGCTGAATCTATGCTGTCTTCTGTTTTGGTTGGAGCACATTTTTCTTCAGACTTAGATGTATTTTCCACACCTTCTTTACCTTCAAAAAGGACTGAATAAGCCACAGGTTGAGGGTCCAGGGTTTCACTTGTTTTTATACCTTCCCTCCTTGATGTGTCATGAACCTGACGGACAGGCTTTAGACTGTCGTTAGAGCTCTTGCAATTAAAATGTTGGCTGAGTTTGGGACATGGATGTTTGATTCATTCAACCTTAGGGAAAGGAAAAAATATTCTGTTAATGTTTATTTCTTTCTGTATATTTAGGACAAGTCAAAGTTTTTAGAGCCTTGTATACATTTGAACCCAGAACTGTAAGTATTTAAGTTTATTTCCCCCCTCCCCTCTAAAATAAGGAAATGTCATTTTTTAATATGACTTAGCAGCTAAACCCAACCTCGCCCTTGTGATAATAAAACATAGGAATTGATATTTACATTGTACCCACAGAGGTGAAAGATCTAAACACTTTAGAGGCCGATGCTACAGTTTGATCTTCCTCATATTTGCTCAAGAACAAGGTCTCATGTTCAGGTGGTAGTTTTGGCCTCTAAATAAGTGGACAGGCCATGTGACCTTAACCAAGGATTTGGCCTTAATTGTGCGTGCGCTGGTGTCTGTCAACACAACAGTGTTTCTTCTGAGTGCACAATATGACCAACTCGCTATTGGTTAAAAACCCAATTGCCTGTGCATCTTAGTCACACAATGAATGAGGGAGGGAGTTCTAAATCCAACTGACTTCAGCAAAAGTATTTTAGTTTCTGAACAAACTGCTTGAAAAGTGAGAAGTAGGGTAGAAAGTTGGAGGGGGCAAAGCCTGTATTTTGTTCTGCTTTTGCCCCCCCCCCCCCCCGGAGAGATGTGGATTGGCAGTGTCATTACATCCAAGATTTTGAGCATCCTCTTCAAGTTTGTCTGAATCCATTAAGAGAAAGTGTTAACCAAGCTGCACAACACCCTTTTAAGATACTGGAGTCTCTTTTCTCTTGCTGACTCAGCATGCCTTCTGAGCAGTCGCATCTTGCCAAAGGCTTACAAAGTAATCTTCTCTTACAAATCCTTTCAGTAAGGAACAGCAGAAAAAGCAAACTCAGATGTCTTCTGCTATAATGCTGGATGGGTGAGGCATATTCCTTTTTCTAGGGCCTGCCTTTTGGCTAATAATTAACTTTGTCCTAAGGTAGGTCCGACAGATAAGCCTCCAGCAAAAATGGAACCACCACAACTCCTTAGTCCAGGCATAGGCAAACTCTGGCCCTCCAGATGTTGGGACTACAATTCCCATCATCCCTAGCTAACAGGACCAGGAGTCAGGGATGATGATTTTGTGGGATGATGATTTTGTGAATCTAAGTTTGGCCTCATTGAGGGGCAGTATTTCAATTTGGGACACGGGTGGTGCTGTGGGTTAAAGCCTCAGTGCCTAGGACTTGCCGATTGAAAGGTCGGCGGTTCGAATCCCCACGGCGGGGTGCGCTCCCGTCACTCAGTCCCAGCGCCTGCCAACCTAGCAGTTCGAAAGCACCCTCGGGTGCAAGTAGATAAATAGGGACCACTTACTAGCGGGAAGGTAAACGGCGTTCTGTGTGCTGCGCTGGCTCGCCAGATGCAGCTTGTCACGCTGGCCACGTGACCCGGAAATATCTGCGGACAGCGCTGGCTCCCGGCCTCTAGAGTGAGATGAGCGCACAACCCTAGAGTCCGTCAAGACTGGCCCGTACGGGCAGGGGTTCCTTTACCTTTACCTTATTTCAATATGAGTAGGAAAATGAGAGTATCCCCTAAACATTTTTTTAGAAAAAAAGCTCTGGGTAGACCGGGGTGGACTTTAGTCTTTCATATTTCAGAGGTGCCCTATGAGAGGCTTAGATGAGAAGCAGGGTGCTGTTTATATTGTTAGCCTCTCAGATGCAGGAAATGATGGTTGCTAAGGAGCCTGCCTGCCATGCTGCATTTCTGAAAGTCTTGAGCTTGCCAGTGGCTCTGCCAAGGACGGAGGTGGAGGGGCCAAAGCACACATGACACAGAAGACCTGTGACTCTGGATTGCCTGATTTGAGCCCCCCCCCCATTTGTTTGGAGCAAAGGTTTTAATCCTTGCCTTCCTCCCCCAGTTGCTATTAACTCTGCAGCACAAAGCAAATCACAGAATCACAGAATTGTAGAGCTGGAAGGGACCTCGAGGGTCATCCAGTCTGGCCCCCTGCAGTGCAGGAATCCTGCCCACAGCAACCCTGGGTGGGCTTGAACCACCAACCTCCTGGTTAGCAGCCAGATGTGCTGACTCCTTGCTCCAAATAATGCAGGCTCAATACACACACACATGCTTCCCACTGCAGTGCAAACAGGAGCTTTGGGGGCACCCACTTCTCAGCCCCACAACTCCAGTAAAAATGGGTGAAATCTCAGGTACAGTAAAGTGAACCAATCCCAGATCTCCTGCATCATGTGTAGTTTGGCCTCTTCAGTAGCTGTGAGCTGGTTTATTATTCCCTGGCAAGCCAGCAGGTGGCAACAGGGGGCAGCAAAAGCCCTGTTCCCTTTCCTTTCCCTGTGGTTGCCTTGCCACTTGGGGCAGAGACACCACAGCCTTTTTTCGGAGGCAGAAGCAACCTTCCTGCTCCTCTCCCTTTCTTCCCTTCCTGTTTTCCAGCTTGCCAGGGCTCTCAGCTTCCACTTCCCCAGTACAAGATAAGCTCTTCACTGCTTCAGTGCATGTCTTATGGGGCCAAGGCTGCGGTGGCCTTGTTTTTGCTCACAGGCTGCACAGGAGATTTCAGCGAAGGCTGCCTAGTGCCGGGTAGAAAGCATGGAAGGGTTCAAAAGTAAAAGAAGTTGCTAAGAATGCAGTTCATTGAATTCAGAATTCTTTCCTGTTTGATCCTCTATTCAGGCCCACCAGGAGTACCGGTCCCCCCTTTAAACTGGGACTGCCTGTCCTCCCTGGCTCCCTTTTCACCTGCAAGCTGCCTGCTATTTAAGATTTCCCACAATGCTCAGGAGCAACACTGTTGAGGTATTGGGGGAGAATTTAAATGGCAGACCCTGTTGGTTGGGGCTCAGAAGATGGCTGATTTGGTGTCAGCCTTGCCTCTGTTTCCCTTCCTGTGAGCAAGGAACTGTGGAAGGGAAAGATGTTCTTAGCAAGAAAAGCAGAAATGTCTCTTACAAACCTCAGCCTTTTAAATATAAACTCTGCCAAAGACACAAGCAGACCTTCTGTGGAGTTTTGAGTTGGTGTATACTCACATGGCCCTGTTTCCATTTGATTGATGGTTTGTACCTCTTCCTCAAACTGAATGAAGAAGATAAATCCTAAAATGTTGTTAGGCAAGGCTGCAACAATGATATTCTTCTAAAATTGGTCTGCAAACTCAAACACCCTCTTTATTGTTTCAGCCAGATGAACTGTATTTTGAAGAAGGAGATATTATCTACATTTCGGATATGGTGAGTTCATCAAACACAAATGTTAACAACTGGAGCGTGCTAAATAAACAAGAGTACATCTCAAGTAGAGTCATTGTTCCCTTTTTCAGCATTGCTTTCTTTTCCCTCCAGAGTGACACAAATTGGTGGAAGGGAACCTGTAAAGGAAGAACTGGACTAATCCCCAGCAACTATGGTATATTCCAGATTTGCTTTACCTTTCAAGATATATCTCTCCACCCCAGATGTGGACTATAAGGATGTATGCAGCTTGTAATTTTTAAGGGGTTGTCTCTGATCCAGATACAAAGAAATATAGTATCTTACTTCTAATGTGATGCCAGAACCGGGCATTAAAAATGCTTTCATGGCAGAGAGCTGCTTTGAGAACACACCTTTTAACTGGAAGAATGCATCCGTGTTCTCTTGTGTGCCATCTGCTGGACAGACATAAGCAAAAAAAAAACCACAAGTGGATGCCTTTTAATGTATTTATTTTTTATTAAAATGTATGTCACAACCTCCAATCTTATTATGGGGGGAGCGTTCAACAAAACTTTAGGCCCACATGTATGATGATGATGATGATAATGCTGAAAAGGATAAGTCTCTAAAAAATAGCATAAAGATTATATGAGACAGAATAAAACAGATCAACATAAATGTTGGGAAAATAAAAAGACTTCTGCACAGTGCTGGAGAGACATCAGATATATTTTTTAAAAATAAAAAAGCTAAATATGTTGTCGTGCTGACACATAGAAGAATATTCACAACTAAGTAGGATTTATAAGCTGGATGTGTCATTTACAACTCCCTGGGAATTGTAGATTTGCATAAGTCCTGAGAAATCTTCAAGACCCCAAGAATAGTCACAGCTCCCTCAGTATTTTTGGCCCAGATCCAAGGCCTTCTTTGTTGAGCTCTGCATGCACAGCAGACTTTTAGCATCCTCCGCTCAGGAAGGGCTCACCCCAGTCGGGCGGCGCTGCAGTGCTAGCCTTCCAGCAGCCCATGTTGCTGCCGCTTTATTTGGGGGAGGGGAGAATGATGGGGGAGGGTGGGGCTGCCTGGATGCAACGGGGGGGGGGGTGCTTTCCTTTTAGGAGGCGGCCTGCTTCTCCATCAGACAGAACCTCCTCCAAACCCGGAAGAGCTTTGGAAAGAGGCTCAGACATGGTATGTCTTGCTGCCGGAAGGTTAGGGTTAGTGCCAGTTCTGAGCCGCCGTGTTGTCTCGATCAAGACAATTTCAGCATGTATAACTTGCATGACAAGCTATGCCTCCAGAGGTCACCTCTTCCGCATGCCCTTTCTTCTGTCATGGTGGCCACCTTGGGCTCTGTAGACACAGAGCTTCCCCAACATTAAATTGAAGGAAGCTTCGCAAGGAGCTCCGTTTGGCACAGGCAAGTTTTCCGCGTTTTGAAACTTGGGGATCAAAACTTATAGTGCATACAATAAGGAGTTTAATATATATATTTTACATCCATGGCCTTGGATAAATATTAAACATATTAGTGCATAGAAGGAAGAAGGAAATTAACGGCTCTCGGTTACCTGGGGCCCATTCAGCAAGGTGCAGGAGTCAAAGAAGTCCCCTCTTAAGATGACGTGTGTTTTTCCTTTTGTTTTAGTGGCTGAACAAGCAGAATCCATTGATAACCCACTACATGAAGCTGCCAAGAGAGGTGGGTACAGATGAAGTTTGCAGTATATCAGATCCCACCCCCCACCCCCCCACCCCCCGGGCTTGTGTATTCAGTTACAAGCTCATGGCTGCACTAAAGAGAGCTGGGTTGCCACAGAAGCAATTCTTCGGTTCTCTTCCCATTGGGTTGGGGGATGAAATAGATTGGGTTGTTGGAGTTTCTTTAAAATATGAAAGCTATGAGAGTGGGATGTCTGTGTGGGACAATAAAGGCATTTTATTTCTAAGAGAGAGGGTTTAATTGTTTGTTGCATGACTTGAGTATTTTGGACAAATAGTCTTGATTTGCAGAATAAATATATTTATTTGCAGAAAGAAATAGGCACAATAGATTAATTCTTTTAGTACTGGGAAAGGAATAATGGTTTCAGATTAAATAACTGGGTAGAAAAAAAATTGTATTTTTACTGTTACTATGATAATTGCTTTTATTTCTAATGTTTTTGATCTGTTTTATATTTGTTTTATGGTTCTCTTTTGTAAGCTGTCTTGAAAATCTAGATTTAAATACACATTTTCAAATAAATATTAAATAATTGGTTTGATAATGATGGTATACTAATGTGGGTATATGGTGATGAATAGTTTAATAGCTTTAACAAATCATTGTGATGTAATGACATTAGTCCAGCTTATAATCACACTGTATACACAGAATACAATAACACCTTAATAATATAGTAACCCCTGTGGTTTTTTGTTTTGCTTTTACACTTCATAAATATAATTTTAAAAATGGTGATCTCCCTAATTCAATGCTTTATTTATTTATTTCATTTATCTCCCACCCTTCCTCTCAAAGGAAGGTGGCAAACAAGTGATAAAAACACTAAAAATATCCTAAAAAGCAATTCTAATATAGATGCAAACCAGGAAAGATTTCAGCTTTCAATGCATTTTTATTTAGAAGTAACTGCCACTAAGTTCAATGAGGATTCCTTCTAACCCTGTGTATGTGTACTCAGAAGTAAGGGCCATTGCGTTCAGTGAAACTTACCGTATATACTCGAATATAAGCCGACCCAAATATAAGCCAAGGCACCTAATTTTAGCACAAAGAACTGGGAAAACTTATTGACTCGAGTATAAGCCTAGGGTGGGAAATGCAGCAGCTACTGGTAATTTTCAAAAATAAAAATAGATACCAATAAAATTACATTAATTGAGGCGCCAGTAGGTTAAATGTTTTTGAATATTTACTTCAAAGAATAACAGTAAATTAGCTCTGTAAGTGGAAAAGAGGGTCAACAAAAACAATATGGTATCAACAATAACTTTAAAAATTCAAAAGCCTTAGCTCAATCAGCAACCAAGCTAAAACACAAGAGTTAAAATCCTTCAAACCTGGATTCCTCCTCATCGTCTGTTTGCTCAAACAGAGCTTCAGCTGTAGCTGGTGTGAGGTTATCAGCATAGACACTGTCATCATCACTGAGTTTGCAGTCATCACCATCACTGCTGTTCTCATACAAAGCGCTGTCTTCACTGCCACCCATAGCATTACTAATGCCACATTTCTTCAAGGCGCGTTGCACAATGTCCTCTGGGATCTCCTCCCAAGCATCACAAACCCACTTTGCTATCAATTCTATGTCGGGCTTCATTAGATTTCCAACTTTTGTCAGTCAGGCTTGATCAGGTGACATCCATTCATGCCACATCTTTCACACACGGTCTTTGAAAGGTTTATGTAAACACACATCTAGGGGGTTACAATACAGATGTAAGCAGACTACAGATGTAAACAACTACCAGACTTTTAGAAGACATCTGAAGGCAGCCCTGTTTAGGGAAGCTTTTAATGTCTGATGTATCACAGTATTTTAATATTCTTTTGGAAGCCGCCCAGATGGGCGGGGTATAAATAATAAATTATTATTATTATTATTATTATTATTATTATTATTATTATTATTATTATGCCCACCTGGAATAATGGCCAAAGTAAATTGAGAAGACTTTGCCAATTTTTTTATGTCAGCAGATGTGTGGGCTCTGAACATATCCCAAAGTAGCAATGATGTTTTTTTTCTTTAAGGCTGCTCCTGGTTAGCCGTTCCAAATTTCTTCCAGCGATCTTTTTGTTCCGTCTTCATCCATCCAGCCTTTAACATATGCGCGCACTGTAATTCATGGTGGGAATTTGACCTTTATAGGCAAGATCTTTCTTTTAAAAATAATGACAGGCTGCAGCTTAGTTCCATTAGCCAAATATGACAGAACGACTGTGAAATGTTTACCACCCCCACCCCCCATTTCCTCTGGTTCTGAGTAAAATAGTTTTGTCTCCCAAACTTGCCACAGTTCTGTTGCTTGGAAGATCAAAGGTCATAGGTGTTTCATCCATATTTCCAATATCTCCCACATCATAGCTATGGATCCTTCTTTGTTTTATGATGAATGAATGGAATGACATCACTTTTTCATCAAGGTCTTTTGGCAACTTCTGTGAAATCTTTGTTCTTTGCCGCAAACATAGGGCAAACCTATTCATGAAGTGGGTACACCATCCTGCTGAGGCAACAAAATTTTCAATGCCTGGTGCTTTTAATTTGTCATTTTCAGCCATTTCAAGAGCATGTAAGCGAATTCCCATGCGTGTTACACAGTAACCATTTTGATGACACTCCATAACCCATTGATGCAATTCAGTCTCTAGAGCCCCATATGAAGTTGTTAAACCACATCAAGCTTTTTTTGCCTTTGGAATCTTTTCCAAGTCAGCTTTCATTTTCCACCACTCCCTCACATGTTTTTTGTCAACACAAAATTCCCTACTTGCAGTAGTGTTATTGCTTTCTTCTGCTCTTGACACAACCTTCTGGTCCAGTATTAGAAGTACAATGGTACCTCGGGTTAAGTACTTAATTCGTTCCGGAGGTCCGTTCTTAACTTGAAACTGTTCTTAACCTGAAGCACCACTTTAGCTAATGGGGCCTCCCACTGCCGTCGCGCTGCCGGATTTCTGTCCTGAAGCAAAGTTCTTAACCCAAGGTACTATTTCTGAGTTAGCGGAGTCTGTAACCTGAAGCGTATGTAACCCGAGGTACCACTGTATTGGGATCCATTTCTAACAGGATAAAAAAAGACAGCGCAGCGCCTCTCCCAACCGCGGCTCCTGCACCCGCCTTTGCGAGAGGCGGGCGGCGCCAGCAGGACCAGTGGCAAGAAAGGGCTGCTTTTGGGCCGCTCATCCCTCCCCTGCTGCCGCCCGCCTCTGCTGCTCTGTCGCAGTTGGCAGAGCAGAGGGCAGCGCTTCTCCAAAGTCAGCCCTTTCCCACCACTGGTCCCGCCACCACCGCCTCTGCCACTCGCACCATAGGTAGGCTGGGGGGAGGGGGGAGAGAGAAGTCCCCTCCGGTGCGTGTGCACGCACACATACACACACACATGGTCTGGCCTGCCATGCGGTCTGGGGGATAGTCAACCGGCCCCCTCCCAAAAAAGTTTGCTGACCCCTGGGTAAGTGGGACCCTCACTCACGTACAAGCCAAGGGGGGCCTTTTCAGCATAAAAAATGTGCTGAAAAAGTCGGCTTATACACGAGTATATACGGCACCTCAAGGTAAATGTATATAGCATTTCAGTCTTAGTAGTAGTTAAGGCCCCTACTAGTTTAAATTGATGTATTCAGAAGCTAGCTGTTGGCGCCACTGCAGGCTTATCCCTCCTCCATGGCCAGCTTCACACGTCATACTAAGCCAAGGCCCAGGCTGCCCAAGGAAGATGGCAGCCACTTCCATCCTCCCTGGCTGTCTCACTGTTGCTTTGCACTGGCTTGGCTTAGCATGCCATCCAACACCAGGCGAATGAGCAGGAAACCAAGAGTAACTAATCATGGTTAGTCTAGAGAAAGCTAAACCCACAAGACCAGGTTCAGACAATATGCAGAGCCAAGCCGTGGCTTAGCTCAGTGCAGCACAGCTGCAAAACAACCAGGGAGAGCAAAGTGGCTGTCATCCTTCCTGGGAATACCCATCCTCATATGTGCAAGCTAAACCCTGATTTGGCTTACTGTGAATATAGAATCACAGAATCTTAGAGTTGGGAGGGACCCAAGGGTCATCTAGTCCAGCCCCCTGCAAAGCAGGAATCTCAGCTAAAGCACCCAGGACAGATGGCCATCCAGCCTCTGCTTAAAAACCTCCAAGGAAGGAGAGTTCATCACCTTTCTTGGGAATCTGTTCCACTGCTGAACAGTTTTTACTGTCAGAAAGTTTTTCCAAATCTTTAGTCAAAATCTCCTTTCTTCCAACTTCAAGCCATTGATTCGAGTCCTACCCTCCAGAGCAGAAGAAAACAAGCATGCTCCCTCCTCCATGTGACAGCCCTTAAGATATTTGAAGATGGCTCTCATATCTCCTCTCAGTCTCCTCTTTTCCAGGCTAAACATACCCAGCTCCTTCAAGCACTCCTCATAAGGCTTCGTTTCCAGACCCTGGATCATCTTGGTTGTCCTCCTCTGCACACCTTCCAGCTTGTCAGCATCCTTCTTAAATTGTGGTGCCCAGAAGTGGACACAGTATTCCAAGTGTGGTCTGACTAAGGCAGAATAGAGCGGGGCTATGACTTCCCTTGATCTGGACACTATACTTCTGTTGATGCAGTCTAGAATAGCATTCACTTTTTTTTGCTGCTGCATCACACTGTTGACACATGTTCAGCTTGGGGTCCACCAAGACCCCATGATCCTTTTCACATGTGCAAACCAGGACAATATGTAAAAGGGAAACCCTCAGCTCATACTGAGCAGCTACATGGGTATGGAAGCTACTGGATTGGTGCTCTTGTAAACTGGCCAAACAAGCAATGTGCATACTTAGATTTCGAATCCTTAGAGTGCAAATCTCTGCATGCCTATTCAGAAGTAAGTCCAGTGGAACTGACTTTCAGGTGAGCTGGTTAGCAAGCAATACACTTTTACAAAATTTGGAAGAACTCAAACTGTAATCGAAATAGATTCAGGTAGAACTGTCATTCTTGGTTATAGTTTTGACTTGCATCATACAAGTTTTTCTTTACTGGACAGGTGACATTTGATAATGTGAGCAATGCATAATGCATAGGTTCAACTGTATAGGCTCTTAAAAGCTAAGTAGCTTGCTTGTTAAAAAGACTGTTGTCTCCCAAACAGAATATTGAATGGAAGTAGAATTTGCATAACATTTTCATTCATGCAACAATAATGTGATTTGGTAGCATCTGGGGCTGTTGTTGTTGATGATGAGCTGAAATGCATTGCATACCAGGGAGACTCATCGTTCTCGGTATGATTTAGCTTAATAATTTATTTCCTCCCTCTACCCACCTCCACCAAGAAAAACAACTCCGTTATGTTCTATGAAAAATATATTTCTTTTTCTGTTTCAGGAAACCTGAGCTGGCTGAGGGAGTGTTTGGACAACAGAGTTGGTGTCAATGGCTTAGACAAAGCTGGGAGCACAGCCTTGTACTGGGCATGCCATGGTGGACACAAAGGTACATGAGAAGTGAATGAAAAGGAACACCTTTCTTCTTGGAGCTTTCATCACTGGGTTAATGGACCAGCTAGTATTTCCTCTTCTACTGCAATCAGTAATGGTCTGAATTCTTGTATGATACAATTTAAATTAGGAAGAGGGAGGGAAATTAAGAAATAAGATTGGATTGGCCTCAGCTAGAGCCAGACATGAAGCGTTGCGGGTTCTGTGTGGGCCCCATCTCTTCCTGCAGAGGCCATCTCACTCCTCTTACTCTTGAGGTCCTTTTTATGCTTGCAGGCCTTTGTAAACTGTTTTATTCTGTATTTTTAAAATTTATTTAGCCACTCACTTTAATGATTATATGGTGTTTTATGTCTTAATCGTTGCACACTGCCCTGATATTTTACGGTGTGGCAGCTCAGAAATACTAAAATAACGGGGGGGGGGGGGAGTAAGCTGCCTTACTCCAAGTCAGACAGCTTGTCCATCAGTACAGCCCAATAGGGTCTGCTCTTATTGGCAGCCAATCTCAAGGAATTCCTGTAGAGTGATGCAGCAAGAAAACTGCCTGCACATTTGCAAAGCTAGGCAGTGTCCAGTATGGTTTCAAATTGGATGGGGAACCACTTGTTGAGATTCCTGCATTGCAGGGGTTTGAATGAGATGACTCTTGGGGTCTCTTCCAACTCTATGATTCTATGATATCACTCTCTGTACTTCTGTACTCTTGACCTTACTGATTACATCCTGCCTCTTCACCCACTCCCACACTTTGCCAAACATGTGTGTGTGTGTTTATAGTTATAGATATACCCTCAACTCACCTGATAAGTGGACCACAAAATCTGGTGCCATAATAAATTTAATAGCCTTTGAGTTGCCACAAAGTTTCATTGTTTTGGCTGGAAGAGACTCAACACGGCAATCCCTCTGGAAATAAATATGGATCTAAAATCATGTGCTCTTAATAATGGCGAAGCAGAAAAGAAAAGAAATGAAAGGTGATCCTGAATTAAGAATGTGGGTTTTAAAAAGAGATTGTATTAGCTTTCATATAGATTAGTTCTCTTAAGTTAATTCAACTTTCACAGCTCACTTTTTGAGCTGATTGAGTCTAGATCCTGACTTTCCTGCTACATTTTGAATTAACAAAGCAACTTCCAGTTTCTCACGATATCCCCACTCCCAATTTTTTCACTTTATGCAGATATAGTGGAAGTATTATTGACGCAGCCAAATGTAGAACTAAACCAACAGGTAAGTAATCACACATTGAATGGCTTTCCAGAATGGGTTTGTGATAATGGTGATTGATTACCATTGACATGATCTAAACTTCTGTTGCCACATTTTAACCTTGATGGGTTTCCCCACTTCTGCATCCACAGAATAAACTGGGGGACACAGCTTTGCATGCTGCTGCATGGAAGGGTTATGCAGATATCGTAGAAACACTGCTGGCAAAAGGTAATTGTATTTACCAAGACATTCCTGTCATAAGCACGGGCCCTGGGGAGATGTGTATATCTGAGAAATGCACGAGTTTTATGCCTGCATGCGGTGCCCCATACCTTCCCTTTCCATTCCATGTTCTTACCACACAATGATTCAACACTTCATGTGGTCATGAACCATTAATGTTACATCTGAATTGGGAAACTATGGTTGGCAGCATTGAGCTAGGATCTTGAATCACAGTTGCTTTTCAAGTTGTTGTTATCCTCGTAACCATAATTTCCTGGTACTGACAAAATACAAAGCTATGGTTAACTGAAGTCTTGCAGGATTAATAGTAGCACACTGAGAAAGGAGAATTGGTGATAGGATGAAACATGTTGAGCACAAGGCTCATACATTCCTCAGTTTATTAAGCCAAGATATGCACATCTGAACTGAGCCATAGGCACACATTTGCATACCCAGTTTGCAATGTATACTGTGAACGAGCTGTTTTTGTGGCCTCATTTTACCTTCTATAATGCAGTTATTATTTTCTCACTTGACATACTAGTTGAATTATGTATTATATATTATAATAATTATAATATATAATACTACAATATATTGTGAAAGACAAATCCAGATTTTCCATGGATTGACAAGATCTTCAGAGTTCCCTTGGTTTGCAGTTGTATGGCCACTTATCTGAAAGCAAACCCCACTGAACTCAAGAAGATAATTTTGTGTAGACATGTACAATACTTCACTGTTTGCCCCTTATGTCAAAGAGATTTGGATCAAGCTCTCTGTGCTCATATTGTTCTGTTCTAGCTCATTATCAAGTATTACATAATACTATGTTTTTATATATGCTGTAAGCCACCCAGAGTGGCTGGGGGAACCCAGCCAGATGGGTGGGGTATTATTGCTATTATTATTATTAGACCTTCAAGAAATTACTCAGAGCAGAGCTGGCCCACCAATGAGGTGGGATGAAGCACCTGCCTTAGGCGGTGGAAGGGCAGAAGGAGGTGCCCTGCTTGCCCCATCGCTTCCACCACTTCCAGAATGCCTCCCTCTTGCTGAGTTTGGGTAAGCGGGGGGTATTCTGGTGCATGGTGGACGTGGGGGGCAGGAGCAGCACATCCCACTTCCGCCTCAGGTGGCAAAATGGAATGGGCTGCCCCTGACTTAGAATGCTGCACCCACAGAAGACGAGTGCAATCTGCAACTTTCCTTGCTGTGTTCATTAGCCATCTGAATGCCACCTTTGTTAGTGGAGTTTTGTGTCCCATGAAGCCCTGCAATATGGTTCCTTCCATAGCCTGTTCTTCTTCCTTCTTAGGGTAGGACTAGCTGTGTTCTGAATTATGAAAGCCACCTTCTCAGTTATGTGAGGAATTATTCCACTGATATGGAGGTGATATTTTACACTGGGGCAGGATTCATCTGTGTTGTTGTGTGTGCATAATGACATTCACTTGCACATGGGACTTTTTATCTCTTACCTTCTTCCATGCCCCCTACTCTGCTCTGGGGGTTGGGGGGAAATGCAGAACAGGTTGAGGAGACGTACGAGGTGAGGAGAGGATGGAAAAATATTATTGCATGAGTGGACCTCCTCCCCTCCCCCCATTCCACTTTGAGTGCTGTGTTGAATTCTGCCCCTAGTGCACGTTAAAAAATGCTATGATTCTTCGTAGATGGCAAAGTGGCGTCATTCTGTTCCTTAGAATCTCTATTAGCATAGAGATTTTGCATCGGAAGTTAGAATGGAAAACTAGTTTCATTTTAGAGGAAAGTTGCTAACAAGGATAGCAAAGATATGCGGCTAACACAGGGGCGACTAAGCTGTGGTCCTCCAGATGCTGCTGGACTACAACTCCCATCATCCCTGACCACTGGAAAATTGGCTGAAGCTGAAGGGAGCTGAGAGTACAGAAGCTCCATCTGGAGGACCACAGGTGAGACACTCCTGACCTGATAGTTTCACCTCTGAATTTCTAATTGTGGTGTCCTCTATTTTGTTTTCACAAAGGTGCTAGAACAGATTTAAGAAATAATGAGAAGAAATTGGCTTTTGACATGGCAACTAATGCAGCATGTGCTTCCCTCCTTAAAAAGAAACAAGGACAAGGTGAGGGTTGTTGGTTTTTTACCTTTTTTGATGTATTTTCTAATATGCTGCATCAGTAAGCAACTTATGAATATCCCCATAACTGTTGCTGAAAGTGGGATTATGTGAGGCAGTTAGAAAATGCATTTCTGCTTAAGGACGGTGACCTAGGACAAGTTGTGATGAAACCCTACAGAAGGCACCCCTTTTCGCAGAGCTCCAAGAATAATAGGTTCTCAGGTACACAGAGGGCCACAGAGAGACGTGATTGTAGCTATGGAGGAATGCCAAGCTGTTGTGGGAGGAAGCCTTTTTAATTATTGCAATTATTTTAATAATATAGAGGGATACAAAACGTCCTGCAATTGTCTTGCTAGAAATTTGACGCACAAGAGGTGACAGCTCTGGTAACAGATATTGAAAACACTCAAAATGACTGGCCCTGCTCTTAACAGAGCAATGCTGTTGGGGTAATTGAATCCATATCAGAGCTGCTACCACTTGCTATATGCCCTGTTCACTCACTCCAGTCCAAGGAGGAGGAGGAGTGGTGGTTTGTGTCGCTCCTCTACCCAGCCACACTCCTGCCCTTTTCCATGTTGTAAATGGACCTTCCCATTCACATCAACGAGGAGGGGAAGTCAACTGTTTTTGCTCTTGGCCACCCCAACATGCCCCTTTCCTCCACCACAGCTATTGGAACACCTTCTGTGTATTGGGATTGTGACTGCTTCTTATTCCTCTGGCTTAGCTGTTGGGTTGCACCCTAAATTTACATTTTTAAAATGTTTGTTGCTCTTTCTTCTAGACATAATGCGAACCTTAAGCAATGCAGATGAATACCTTGATGATGAAGACTCCGATTGAACTGCCTTAATACTTTCTAAAAATGTTCAGCTTTTTGTGCCTCCACCTTTCTCAAATTCTTCCTCTGACTACAAAAAGTGTACTTTTCTCATATACATAGCAATGTAACATCATAGCTATCCCCTCCACAGGGTCAAAATATGCCCCTTCCCAGTACTTAAGGTCCAAAAATTCTCTAGTTGCTTTTAAATAAATTGGCTAGGTGAGAGCATGTTTGATGGCTTTTCCCATTATGCACTGGAAATAGACTTTGCCCTTTAAGAAGAAGTGTTAATATATCTCTGCAGACATTGGGTTTTTTGCAGGCAAATGGCCATCTTAAATGCTACACCAATGCTAGTTTTATTTTACTTTTACAGAAAGAAATATATCAGGTAGAAGAGTGGTTGGTTTTCCTTACAACACATATTCACCTGTGTGCATGTTTATGCGTATTTTATTTGCACACACACGTGTTTAGGTGTTGGTTCCGTGCATGTTTATACACTGAGAGCCCACACTGGAGTCATGGAATGAAAGTACTTTATATCAGGAACATACCCTTAAGGGGACTGGAGTTGAAGAGATATTCCAGTTTCCCACAAACTGGTTCTGGTTATACACATTTTCTGTGGTCGCTTGGGATTACCCATGGCATTTGTGTGCAAATCTAGCCTTGCACAGGAACAGGGAGTGTGTCATACTGGGTGAGAGAAAGGAGCAAGGCCTGCTGCATTAGCCAGCACAGGAAGCAACAAATCTCTCTGCCCAGTGGTTGCTTAGAGGGTGAATGGAAGCTTATGTCTCCATTTCCCCTTGGAATGACTGTAGGGAGAAATCAGACCTTGGTTCCATTTGAGCCCAATTCCCAACTCCTGTAATGATCACCCAGAGAACAAAGGATGGCCTTATTTCCCCCTGAAATGACTGAGAGTGCAGGAGGGAATTCTCTCACCTGACCCCCTCACATGAGCTTCATAAAGTCCTTGCTGTGTGTGGGGTGTGTGTGTGTGTGTGTGTGTGTGATTTAAAAGCATTTCAGTGGGTGGGAGAGGATGCTCCTTTGCCCATTAATCTTTACGGCTCACTTCTAAAGGCAGAAGGCATTAAAGCTCCATAACCCCTTTCATAATCATGTTAACCAGCAGTTAAATGGGAGGTGGAATGTGTGTGGGGGTTATATCCAGCCCCTCTTTGCTTCCCCTCCCAAGCAACCATTCTCTTGCATGCCCAGTCCCAGCAGCTGACCCGAGAGAAGGTGCACAAGTCTTCATTCACAAGGTTCCCCATCCAGCGCAGGATAAGTGTACAGAAGGATTACCACCCAGTCCAATCAGGGAATTTATATAGACAAGGAACTTATTCTTTAACTCATTGTGCCTTTGTGTTCATATCTGCCCCATGGAGGCAAGGGGTGATCTTCCTCTTCTCTGCCAGAGATTCTTGCTCTTTTTGTGCATTTCTGTTCCTCTTGCCCCAAAGTATTTCACCTCAAGAGCTGGTGTGTTTCTGAAATCATTTATTGGTGGGATGCCACAAACCAAAAGTATATTCAGAAATAATATTGAATAAATATTTTAAATGCTTTGAAACTTAGATTTCCTCCTTGAGAATGCAAGCTTTTGCCTGGGTTGGAATTAATAGGACTTTATGGCACTAATGCTTGGGAGATTACAGCTGCAATCTCAACATAGACTAGTGAAGATGCCCACGAAATGGGAGTGAGGAACTTGCAATCATAAATCCATTTTTAAAAAATATCCCTACATTATAATTTTGATGCAAACTTTACTGCAGGGCTTAATTGTTGTTTCACATTAAATTATGACTACCAGAAAATTCACACTGCACTGAAATGAATTCTTCCCCTCTTTTACACACGTAATTAAGTTATTACATTTTTTGGCTTATTTTACAAGGCTCTTTCCGCTCCAGACGCAGCCCCCTGGATTAGTATTCTGGATTTTATGAGGTTTTCATTTTATGTTCCTGCCTTATCTGCATATTGAAGATAATACTTTGAGCTGTAAGAAGTGCATACAAGCAATTTCATTTCATTGCAGTTAAGTCAGTTTTTCATATTACCTAGCAGATCTCCCCTGAAGGATATTTATTAAGGGTTTATTTGCACAACATGATTTATTTTACCATGAATATCTGTTACTTTAAAAAAGTTATTCTACACAAAACAAAGGCTGATGAGATACATGCAGTCAATATTTCACCTTGATATTCTTCCCAAAAACCTATACTTGGGAATATAGATACTGACCAAGTTATGGTTGTGTCACTCCCAATTATAGGGCATCACCCTCATATTAGGCAGTGATCTGTGCTGAATTTCTCTTTAACTATTCATTGTTGTTGTTTAGTCATTTAGTCCTGTCCGACTCTTCGTGACCCCCTGGACCAGAGCATGCCAGGCACTTCTGTCTTCAACTATATTCATTACTTAATTCTTATTCATTTTTCCAGGGCTTAGGGTACTGTTGACAAGCATCCAACTGAAAAATGGTGGCCTAGACTAGAAAGATTTCACAAGCAATTTGTTATTTATTTCCCTTTGTGACTTACTTCCTATTAAACATATCAATTTAGAATACACACACACACACAATTTCATATATAAAACAATTTCAAGTCTAATCATCATCCTCCTCATCATCATCATATATTTCCCCGCCCACCTGGCTGGGTTTCCCCAGCCACTCTGGGCAGCTTCCAGCAAAATATTAAAATACAATAATTCATCAAATAATAAAAGCTTCCCTAAGCAGGGCTGCCTTCAGATGTCTTCTAAAAGTCAGATAGTTCTTTATTTCTTTGACATCTGGTGGGAGGGCGATCCACAGGGTGCCACTACCGAGAATACAGATGAAGAAATCTCTAATAAAAAGGCTTGTTGAAAGAGGAAGGTCTGAAAAGATGACTGAAATGGTGTGTATCTGATGTTCAGTGAGAGGCTGTTCCAAAGCATGTTTGCCACCACACTCAAGGCCCAATTCCTACTTCGTATAGATGGGGCCTCCAGATAAGATGGGAGCTAAAGGAGGCCCCTCTTTTGCAGAACACAGTTATCTGTTGTATATTGAAGGAGTTAAAATTATCTATTTTAGTTTTCCTGGTCCCAAGCATTGAATATTAATACCAGGACCTTGAATCGACATCCTACATGGAAGACATGGCATAGCAATGGACCCCAAAGTAGGGTCTGGAAAAGCTAGAGTAGGCATGGATTGATTGATTTATTTCCCCTTTCGTTTAAATAAAAAAGCCTGACAGGTTGCTATAGCCATGTCAATAATATGCAAGCTCAACAGCAAATAAGTAATTGCAGTACCATAAATCACCTATGGTGTGTTCATTAGGAAACGCATGAGTATACAGACATGGAAAATAACAGTTCCCCCCTCCTCTTGCGCCATGGTCCTAATCCAGGGCTGCTTTTTGAACAGAAAAATATGCTGGGGAATTCTAATCACAGAACTACCGCATCACATTCATCTGATCTGCAATTCTTACTGCAATCATTGAAATGTGGGGCTCAGTCCTGTGCTTGTTTCTTTGGAGGTGAGTCCCATAGGCCCACATTCAAAAGGCTTTAAGTCCAAAGTACCCAGACATAGGGTTGCAGCTTTACCATGGCTGACCAGCTTGATTGGGACTTTTATGTTTGAACATTCAAATTCATTTACCCCATGTATCCAAAGTAGTTAGCACCAGACACCCAGGCTCTGTGACAGCATTGAGAATTAATATGAGGGAAGGCCCAGTCTGGAATAGCAAATCACATAGTGCCCAACAAGCCGGTTGAGGATGCCTGCACAATCCCGTAAAAGAGAAGTCTGCCTCCAGATCTGCTGCACATGCCTTGTTCTACTTCCTTGGTCTTATCAGCATTAGAACACCAAAGCACTTACACTTTTTTTTTACTTCACTTTCATTGTGAAGTAAATTTAAACTTGTATGCAAATGCTTGACTGTGAAGAACCTCAACCTGGAGCAAATACATGAGCAAGTCAGCAAATTACCCCCCAAAGTCACAGTAAACAGCAATAATGGTTCCTCTTTGTTTATACTGCAGCGAAAGTAGACATGCAATGCTGGCATCACATCACTTGTTTCACTGGAATCCCAGCACTTAAGTTTAACACCAAAATTATGCAGTTTTAGTATATAGTATTTATTATAGAGTAACCAACCTGCAAGTTAGGCACTTATGGTCTGCCAGGGGGGAAACACCTTTCATCTCTACACTTTCTCAGCAAACATTTAATTGTAGGATACAATGGAAATGTTTGACTGACTGACATAAATACACAGTAAACTGTTGTAAACAAAAAGATACCAGTCATTGCTTTAAAAAAATATGTCCACACAGTGTGAGGGTTCAATGAGACATGGCATAAAAAATAGGTGTAAAACAGTTCTGAACAACAGCTCCAGGGGAGGGGTGTGTGTTTTAATCCTTTCCTTGGTTTAATCCTTTCCTTTGGTTCAATACATTTTGCTGACTGAGGAAGAAGATCAAATAACACCCCACTCCAAGTTGCATAATACTAAAGGCTGGCCAGGTTATTCTGGCTTCAGAGGCAGAAAATCCCACAAGCAGCTCTTCCTCTTCTGCCAGCAAAAAATGCAAGGAAAAAACTAACTTGTAACTCATAAGCCAGTCCCACTGTGTATATTGCATGAGTAGTATCCCCCCCCATTAATTTATGTATTCATGCACATGTGTCTCAAGGTAGTTTACTTAAGTGGGGAGATGGGCAGCTTTAAAAACTGTACACAAACATGACAGCTAAAGGTAGTTTCAAAGCAATGCAGAGTAAGCACCTACAGCAGATACCTTTTCACTCAGCTGTTGTTGATATATTACACACACACACCACACTTTGCAGCAGTACTTCCAGGAAGTTCTTTAAAAAAACATTATAAAATACAAAAAACATTGCAATATTGTGAAACAGGAATGCATTTAAAGGATTAGGCTTTTGTTTTATTTTTAAATCCTTGCCTGGCACTGTAAGGACAGCAATGTTGGTGACAGAAATTCCCTGGAGAGGAAAGTTCATATATGGTGAACTTAACTTTAGTGGCACCTACAGAAGAGCCTCAAAACATCTCTCAATACATAGGCAGGTTGAAATGGAAGCACGGGCTCCTTCAGAGCGTAAAGGGCTTCAAGGAGAACCTGAGGGCGCAAGGATGCTGTTGGAGGCCAGCTCTCCTCAGCCAGAGGTGGCGGAAGCTCTGCCCCAACTGGAGGGCACAGGTCTCCCATCCTCGCTTTAATGGGAGGCACCAGCATTTGGCCTGGCACTCAGAAGTGGTCTGTCAGCTGGAGCAGTTCTTTAAGAACCAGCAACATTTCAAAGTGAACAGACACAGAGAGCAACCTAGCAGCTGTAGTCAGGATCAACTGTATTTTCTGAACAGACTTTGAAGGCAGCCCCATGTACACTGCATTACAGAAGTCATGCCTAAATGTGACCAGGACATGACTAACTACGGTGAGAAAGGCTGCTGCGGGTGCACAAGTCTAAACTGATGAAAATACTGCTTGCCACAGAGGCCACACGGACCTCCCACAGCAAGACTGGGTCCAGGAGTGCTCCCCCCAGACTGGGAACTTAATCCTTTTGGGCAGTGCAACTCCAGCCACAGCAGGCTGAGCAGTGTCTCCCTAAACAGACAAACTCACAGAACCTGCCTTGTTAGCACTGAGCTCCAGTCTGTGGCCCAACATATCAGCCAGCTCAAATCATGTTATTCACTAGCAGCTAGACACAGCAGCTATGGTTTTCTTGAAAATAAAGTGTGAAAAAGACAGATTTCCTAACTGGAATGCAAAACACTATACATTGAAATGGAAACAGGGACTAAATTGTAATGTACAGTATCTGAAGTGCTTATCTGCTTTTTATTTATTTTATAAAAATAACAGGTTACCAAGAGCAGAGCTAAGAAGCGCTGCCACCTCCCAATATTAGAATTATGACCTTTAATTTACAGCTTTCACCTTGAGAGCATAGATTGACAATAAATGTGTGAGTAGTCACATAGACCTAAATGCAAGGATAGGGCCAGATGATTACAGTTTAGCATGTAAATACAGGTATAAAATTGGGTTTTCTGATGTGTCTGGCCTAGAAGCTCAACAGCAACCAAGGTTATCAAAGGACCAGCACTCAAATTATGCTGGTGCCTGTCTCTTCAAATTTTCATGGCAGCTAAATTTATACATTCTAAATGGCTGTGCTAGTGGAGATATTCCTGGGGAATATACTTTCTTGTCAGGGTCAAAAACCAGTACAGTGGTACCTCGGGTTAAGTACTTACGGTAATTCGTTCCGGAGGTCCGTACTTAACCTGAAGCACCACTTTAGTTAATGGGGCCTCCTGCTGCTGCTGTGCCGCCGGAGCACAATTTCTGTTCTCATCCTGAAGCAAAGTTCTTAACCTGAAGCACTATTTCTGGGTTAGCAGAGTCTGTAACCTGAAGCGTATGTAACCCGAGGTACCACTGTACAATTGACTACATGCTGTTTGATAGTGAAATACTAGCAAAAACTGTGTGATTACAAGTCCT